GTGGATTGTCTAAAGTGTATTACACATAAGCAAGTGTTTGTTGCAACGTTCATGAGTGCTTATGAATATGATTTTAGCATTGGATTAAACCCACGCTCATTTGGATCACTTCATAGATTTTATCACGAGTGACAGGTGAGACGAAAACATCTTATATTCTTGAAATCGAGATGTGTGAGTTGTATCTTGCGAGTCGGTTACACATTGATAATATGTAAACGCACCCGTAGCTTGGTGTCATAAAACATATTGTTGTGTGTGATTCGGTGAGTGAGTACAAGCAAGCATTGAATCAATGTTTATCCATTCCTTGTATCTAGAGTAGGATGAAAGTGATATCTTTGGGCCCCTCGATGATTTAGTGATGGCACCTAAGCGCTTGGCTAAGCCAGGACTAATTTGACGTGTTCAATTATACTTTGTTGTCAGTCATCATAAATCGGAAGTCGGGAAACAACATATAGATTGAGAGAATGATTTCAATCCATGTATCACATCTATACGATATCTAGAATAGAGGAATGTATGATCCCTTATCTAAAGGACACGCTTCTGATAGGATCATAGTTGACGGCGGTTTTTGAAAGCTACGATTACAGATCAGGATCTGAAGTCATACGCATAATAGTTATTAGACTTATTCAAGTGGGAGACTGTTGAATTAGTGTCTAAGTCCATAACTATTTTGGTATGTAGTCGACCCGATGGTGCATGGTCCTTTTGGGTTGCCTTCACCAAAGCAACTTGATAGGATAAATTATGGAGAGAGAGGATTAATTATCATTTATTAATATATTATGAGAATAATATATTAAAGGAGAAATCATATTGTTTAATTAATATTAGTCAAGAATTAATTGATAATTATTTTTGTGGCTAAAAGAGATTAATTAAACTTAAGGGACTGGAACTGTAATTATAAGATAATTGCATTTGGGCTATGGATTACCATGGAATAATGGTTGGATGAAATCTATGGGAAACCGATTAGAAATTGTCCGAGGGATATTCTAAAAGGGTCCATGGGCTGCTTAGGGCTTAAGCAGTCAGATTAGGGTTTCCTCGTTGAAAACCCTAAAAGCCTACATGTATATATAGTATACTTAAGCCCCAAAAACATGGCTAAGAGTTCCACTAGGGTTTTTGGACATTTTGGGCAGCCTCCTCTCTCCTTATTCATCATCCTCTTGCTCTTGGTGTTTGTGAACCATTAGAGGAGTGACAATTGTGACTCTAAGCTTTCTAAAGTCATTACAAGGAGGATTTAAGATTGTTATTACTACATAACAATAAAAGGTAACTTTGTACACCCTAATTTCAGTTTATAATATGTTAGATCTAAGATTGTAAATCTTGGATACATTGTATGTACAATAAAGAAACCTAGATCCAAACATTAGGGTTTGCATAAGCACATATGATGTTCTTATGGCTAAAACCCATCATGATTATATCCTACTGTAAGGTATATATATATATATATATATATATATGTATATGTATGTATATGTATATATATATATATATATATATATATATATATATATTTATATATAGAATTTTTCTTGTATTAGAAAATCAATCATATAAGACTAGTGTCGGCATTACTTAATAGGTTTCTTCATTTAAGCCATTAGCATTAAGTCTCTTTCCATTCGGAAACACATGGAGATGTAGCTACTTCTTGCATATTTCTTGGTAGCTACTTTGACAATATGGAGTGTTGGTTGCTTGAGATGGCTACTTATTCTGTGTTTTGACTTGCTCTTGGTTATTTGTTTTTTTTTATGTGTTATTTTCTTGATTTTTTTTTTATTTGGATTTTTCTTGATGGGGAATTCATCTTATTTGAGATTATCTTTCTTCAGATTGTTCGTCTTCTCGAAACTTGTTCTTCTTAATTGTTTTTGAGTTTTCTTTTATTTTTTGGTATATGTATTTGTTATGTTTTATATTTCTTTTAATATTAAAGACTAGAATATTAGTGACATGGTCGTGTGGGTCCTGAAATATTAAGAGTTTGTAACCTAAAGGAATTTTATTTATTTACTAGCTTAATTCCTCTCTCTCTCTCTCTCTCTCTCTCTCTCTCTCTCTTTATATATATATATATATATATATATATATATATATATATAGAGAGAGAGAGAGAGAGAGAGAGAAAGAGGTAGGTTCAAATGTTTTTCATATCTATTGTGTGCTAGAATGCACCAATAGGAATTTACTATTAATTATATGTATATTAAATGCTATCCATACTTATAACTCGTTTTTATAGAAACCAATTAAATTCGTCATTAATGTCAACAATAATATTCATTCAGAATATATTAATATTTAGAAGAAGGAGAATGTAATCCAGTAGAATAAGAGTGTATTCTAGTAGAATACACTCTTGTTCTTCATATTCTATGCAATTTTATTGTATTTTAATTGAGTAAGTCCTGAAACAAAATATGAATTCATATATAAAAACCTAGATGCAAATTCATTCTGAAATAATGTTATTGCTGACATTAATGACGAATTTAATTAGTTTCTATAAAAAGAGAATTATAATGATGGATATCATTTAATATACATATAATTATGGAAATCATTTAATATCTATATTTATTTAATTAAATAATTATTTAATTTATGAAATTTCTATTGGTGCATTTGTAGCACACAATAACTGTAAAAATAAAATAACCTAGCCCTATATATATATATATATATATATATATATATATATATATATATATATATTGGCTGGTTTAAATATAAATGACATCTGTTATGCTAATGTGTAACTAGTCTTGGGCATAAGATGAATGAAAAATTGAGTCATTCTTGAAAGAATACAATTGAATTTATTATTGTTTTTTTTTTTGAAGATTTCAAATTTCAAATCCATCTGAAGGGAAATATATACATTTTGTGTATCTTTATGTACGACAACAAAATAATCAAATATAAATTTGTAGGGATTGATTTATTGTGCAGAAAAACACAAACATTCTAGGAGAAATATTTTTGAAAAAAAAAACATATTCGTGAAAAAATACGTTTTCATTCTTGAAAGAATATGATTTATTTGGTACAATATATTTCTAAAGGAATCTCAACTGGAAGTACATAAAATAAAATAGAAAAACTAAGACTAAATCTACTAAAATATAAAACCATTCGTATGAGAATAAGTTTTAATCTTGATAGAATTATAAAAAAAAAAACTAAGATACGTTATTGACAAAATACATTGTTTCTATTCAATATTTCTAAAAAGGAAGCATTACATAAAAAATAATGAAGAATCTACTAAATGCTTCATATTCTTGAAAGAGTACATTGCAAATTCTTGAAACTATGTCTTTTTTTAAATCTATGTTTGCCTATTTGTAATCACACGATCTCATATCGTGCCTCCCGTCATTATTGAAAGAATGTATTAACCATTCTCTCTCTCTCTCTCTCTCTCTCTCTCTCTCTTTCTCTCTCATTCCCTCTCTCTCTCTCTATTAACATGAAATGATTTCTGAATTGATTCTAAGATTGCTTATATCAACAACCCCTTATTATTTTTTGTATCTCTTATATTGTAAGTCCCTGAGGTCGGATCTATCAAAGTATCAATAAAATGGTTTGATTTAATGCAAAATCTTAATAAAATTGATATGAAACAATCAATTAGATATATCAAGAACACGTTTCAATAACATGAATGCACAAAATTCTATTGAATACCTGTCAAGTACACTTAATCACACTTCAGTTGTGAATCACTAGTATTCACCATAAACTAATTCTTTTAGACCGGCTATACATAGACCATATATATATATATATATATATATATATATATATATATATATATATATATATATATATATATATGTATATATATATATACACACACACATATACTAAACCGATAAACTATAGCCCATACATAATAAGCCCATGGAGAACACACTAAGCCCACCGAAATCACTACGTGATTTCGGTCCAAAATTGAGAACAACATTATACATTCAAAACAAAACATAAACCGCTAAATATAGCCCAACAATCTCCCCCTTGGTTTATTGTTTTCTGTTGTCTTCAAGGTTTATCTACAATATGTACATTCGCTTGGTCAAATGCTCCTTCACAAAGCTTCTTGTTGATAATTGTAGCTACCATTCCAGTGAAAGCTTTAACGGCAGCTTCAAATAGTTCATTCTCTATGATGATTTGAAAGTTTGATAAAGCATGGAGTAACGTTCTCCAAACTTCAACAAATCTTTGGGATCAACAATACGAAACTGGTTTTTCTTCAGCTTGATCACCACCATTGCAGTGTCCTCATCATAAATCTAGAATTGTATTGTATCGAAAGTACCTTCAGGTAAGTGCTTGGGAAGAGGAATCCTTTTGGCTTGCTTTGTGGGTGGCCACATGATGTTCACCATTTTTTTGTTTGTGCATGGATCAATGACACCCTTGCCCTTCTTAGTAAATGATCAAGCAGTCTTTAAGTCCTCAAAGTTAATTTTCGATAGAATCGCAAGAAAATTCTTAAGGGGCCATGCAGTGGTATCATTGGTTGGATTGTGGAAAGCTGTGTGGATGGGTTCTGAAAAATCAACTTTTGTCTAGGACATGAAGTCGACTTTCCTTTCATAATATTTAATTCTTCTACTTTTTTGCTTCACAATCCACATCTTCTTTTCAGCATCGTATCCCGACATGATGATGCCAGAACAATCACCATATTTGTCTGTGAAGTTCTTCCCAGTTTCCATAAATAACATTTCATGGTGATCACTAGAAGATTTTGATCTGAATTCTTCATCAAGGGCATTTTCCCTTTCAGCTGCTCAACCCTAATTTGCTTCTCTCTTCTTTCATGAGCAGAAAGAGGACCAGAAAGATAAAAAGGTATCAAGGTTAGCATCTGGAGCAGCTCTTGCAGCTCTTTCACTTGAAGATTGTGAAGTTGGATTGGCGGGACCTGAACTAGAAGGAGTGATCTTTTATCCTTCGGCGCTCAAGGGTTGAAATTCATCATCAAACTTCTGAAATAGGTGTTGTTTCAAATAAAAGAATAGAGTAATTAAACCACCGAGATTCAGTTGAAGCTCTAAGATCTTTGAATCTTGATCGAACTTCTCTTTCTCAATCTCGCTGATTCGAATATCCTGCTTTCCAATTATCAAATCTTTTTCAGTAGAGTTTTGTTCCAGATCAAAGACTCTGTTCTTAAGATAAATGACATCAACAAATTCAGATTCAGGAAAACTGCTTTTGTGTTTGGAGATTTCGAGCTCGGGTGTTTCAGCTTCCTGAAGCTTGAGCTCCTTCTGAAGCTATGAATTCTTCTTCAACAATTAGGCTTTGAAAATCTTGATCCATAGGAGTGGGCTCAGGGAAGAGGTTTGGTGTTTCTTGAATCACTAGAGACGTCTCAGTGAATGGTCTTTGGATGTTTTGAACCATAGAAACAAGCATAATCAATGTAGATATCTTTTGAACTGGATTCGTGATAAACACTCCCGACCTTTGATGTCTTCTTTTTTGCTTACTTGGTAGTCAAGCGTAGGCTGAGTCTTCTGGATCACTTTTAGATGGAGGTTCAGTAGCAACAGGAATAGTTTGGGGAGGCTTTCTTGCAGTTCGCGGAAATTCTGCTATGAGAGTATCCTTTTGTTCAGGTGCCAATATATAAGATTGCACCGTTGTATCCCTTTCCTTTTTCAGTTAGAACCGGTGGTGTGACAGTTGCATCCTTCTCTAGGTTTGAGATACTTTGCTGAATAAAGTCTTCAAATTTTTTTTCTCTCAATTCATTTACTTGATCCTCTTGATCTTCTTAATTGTCAGATAATTCAATCTCTTTAATTGCAAATTGAAACTTTGGTTTGGGCGCCATGTGTTCGTCGGCAACCTCAAAATTTATTGAACAAACATCATGATTGTCTTCAATCTTGATTAGTAAATTTGGTAGAATTTCTTGATTACTTCATGAATCAAAACGTATTGGGACCCAAAGCTTTCATATCCAATATACCGGGCTTCCTTTCGATTTGGGGATATTTTCATTAAAAATCATTTGAAGGAACCTGGGGTACATCAAAAATAGGTCGTTTTTCTTTCCCAAGAGGTTGCTCTTCATTTCTTCGAAGACGAACTTTGAGAAGTTGTAATCTCAGTCCATAGCTAAAGCAACAATGGTTGAGGTTACAGTTTGACTGATTTCTTCAGAGCCTCCTTTTCTGTCGGAAATGCTTCTTACAAAGGAGTGTGCCAAGAACCTCCAATAGGGTGGTAGTAACTTGTTGATAGTAGGAGGATAGTTTCCTTCATAACACATTTTCTCCTAAACTTCCTTAACACGCTCAGCAGAGTACTCAATTGGGAATGCAGATGCATGACCAAATTCGAGTACCTTCGGATAATTTGTTTAGAGATAATCAATTGTGTTCCTTTCACCACATATTCCACTATATCATCTCAATTTGCTCCTGGCTTGTTGATTGAAGCATTTTTCTAGAAATCAGTCATCAGGTCTCTGTGAATGACTTGATTGGCATGAACGGATTGAGAGATCGTGTAGTTGTTCAAACCCACTATCATGGATTTGAATTCTTGATGAGCAGTAAGAGGACCCATGAGATATCCAACAATTTTGTGAGAGTCTACGAATTTAATTCGCTCTGCCATTTATCTGCACCAAACTAGCCAAGTGAGAACTAATTTAAAATTGATTAACATGAGTTGAAATCCGATTTCAATCAAAGTCAAGGTTAACGTCAAAATTTCAGTCGCTTTTGGTCAAAGATGATCGATTTTGGTCGAAATCATTTGTTGACCACACGATTTCGATCAATGTTGATTGATTTCAGCAGAAAAACCAGATTTCGGTCAGATTGGGTTGGATCTTCATCGGATCACGGTCAAATTTGGGTTGAATCAAAACCTCAAAATCTCATCGGACACTGTTCTAGCGTAGTTCATCAGAAACCTCGCAAAATCCATTCGAAAACCTACAAATCTGTGAAACCGAATACACAAAAACAACTTAAATACCATTTCCATGATCATAAACTAAAAAGCTACCAGATTCACCCAACAATTTGCAACAAAAACAACGAATAGGTAGATTTTAGCAGAATATCTCGAAGATATTGGGGAGAAAACAATGACGACTGTTTGGGTTTTTTCGGTGAGAAACCCTAACCAACTAAAAACAATATATATATATATATATATATATATATATATATATATATATATATATATATATATATATATATATATATATATATATATACACATACAAACATACATGAACGAAAAATCAGCCCAGATGGCCCACCTAAATGATTTCGGACCAAGGAAAATATTATTTTATAATAAAAGGATTTCTTTTGATCTTACATTTCAAAAACCAAATACGAAAATAAAAATAAAATTAAACTTTTTTTGGTATAATTTCTCCCCTAAATTGTGCATAACAGTTAAAATATGTACAAATTTAAATAAATACAAAAATGTAATAAACAAATTCTAATAAAACAAAAGCTTTTGGATCAAACGTTATGAAGCGAATTAATGAGCTTTATCAGCACACAATCACACATGTTCATGAAAAGCTCTGGTCAATCATTGATATTGTGATCCACTTAAACACAAAGGACATTTTTGAAGACAGATCATGAGTGACGATATATAGCTACTATACTCCTAGTTAGACCATTTTGTTTGACGACGAACATGGATATTGTTTTCCACTTAAATTTAGCAAGTAAAATCTACAAGTCGGCCTTTAGTTATGGGTGTAGTTAATGTTAGTACACTGGAACATGTTCCCCACTTCATGGTATACCCTTGTAATCAAGGAAATTTCTTCGGAATGCTTTACTTTAGGAGAGTAAATAATCATTATGGAATCCATATGTTGTGTCTCAGGTCGGATCTACCGATGACACAAAGGGGACAGCATATGACTAACTTAGAGAGTAAGATATATATATATATATATATATATATATATATATATATATATATATATATATATATATATATATATATATATAGGAGACAATATAATTATTTAAAAGCAGTGAACATCATATGAGTGCATATATTGTGTCCCATGTCGGATCTTCCGATCACGTAGAGGGGACAACATATGGCTGACAAAAAAAAAAAAGAATAACAATTTTAAACATACCCAGTTTATCAGAATCCCTTAGTCACCCCATGTCAATAAAAGAATTAAGGACACAAGTCCATACGCCAATGAAGTGTTGAGCCACAAATCTAGATGATATTTAGCTTGAATTTATGTCATAGGCCTCCTTGTCTATTTTAATGTTAAATCTATCCAAGCATCGTATTGTTGTCCAAATGAGGTTTTCTATGTCTAAATGGGTCCACATTGTCTAGTCCATTAGTCTTATTTATTTATGCTTACCAACACATTGGACATAGAGTTTAGATAATTCAGCTTTATTGCATTACACGCATTTCGTTTGCCCTTTATCACTAACACATATCACTTCCCAAAAGATTGTCACAAATTTCTTTTTCTATAAGTAAAAGAAGATGAATGAAAATAAGAAATACTAAATAAAAATGAAAAGAAATTTCATTCTTTGAAACGTATCATCTTAAGAAATCCTACAAGCACGAGCTTGGTTTTAGAAAAAAATAGGTTTTTGGACGATTGAAAATCAATATTATTATCACATAGAATAAAAGAGTTAAAAAATTCAAATCGTAATTCAGCAATCGATGTAATCCCCATTTGTGATCTTTCCTTTTCCTTTCCCGCAAAGGACACATGCTCTCCATTAAAATTCTGAATGTCATGCAGATGATAGATGTCTCTTATCATGTCCCTGGAACAACCACTATTAACAAACCGAAGTCTGATGATATTCTTCCATAGCTGCTCTGGCACAGAGTGTGTGATTAATTGGTTTTGGGAACCAATCCATTTTAAAACTGGGTTGACCTTTACCATCTACGCGTGATACGCGTTCCCAAGCCATATAATGTTTATCAAACACAAAAAATGAGGAGATCTTAGATTTTTAAGTGATTTGGTAGTAGGAACTTTTGGTACCCATCTGTAGTTAGGTTTAACCATTTTCTAGTTTAGTCGAATGGATGCTGCAACACTTGATTTGGAGCTTATGACCAATCGCCGAGATTACTTCGAACTGACTGATCTTGGTTTGACTGAATTATTTCTCAAATCAGATCCCTTGTCAGACATGACCTTTTGTTCTTGAGAGTCTGATTTTTGTCCTTGGTGATATTCCAGTCACCATAACTTCATCTCAAGGAGTTTCTCTTGAAAGATCTTCCTTGAGATACCTTCTTCTTACCTTGGTTACAATAGGGAATATATGCATAAATTGGAATTTCTAGCAATGTGACCAGGAATTCCACAATTAAAGCAGGTTTGTCTTTGAAAAGGAATACGTTCAGAACATGGTCTCTGTCCAACTAAATTTCCATAAGTACAAGCACATTTAACAAATTGTTTCACAACTTTATGTGGCTTAAAATTGTTAGCAGTGTTATCACAAGCTTTTAAAGCAATAGAATATAAAATTTTAGTTTTTGAAGAGTTACATTAAAACTAGAATAATATTTGTTTTTATCGCACCCATCTTGCACTGTTACTTTCTTAGAACATGAAGTAAAAACATTAGTATCTTTCACCTCATTATTCTCAGTTTTGCTAGATTGTTCAGTCTTAACTGAAGCAGTTACAGTAGGATGACCATGTTGAACAAATTTTTCTGTCTCTATGGTTTCAAAATCCAAAGTATAGTCATCATCCTTAAATTTAGCCTTTAATGCATCAAGTTCGATAGTTAAGATGAGTCGGTCTTACCATTAGTAGGCCTCAGTACTAGAAAAACAGCCTTTTACGACGCTCATTGCGTGTCATAAAAGGCTCAGACGACGCGCAAATGCGTGTCAAGGAAGGCACTGTCATAAAGAGAGATGACGCGCATTTACGACGCTCATTTACGACGCACGTTTACGACACGCAATGCGTAACAAGGAAGGCCCTGTCATAAAAGAAGACGACGTGCATTCGTGTGTCGTAACCTTACGACGCGCGTGTTAATGACATGCAATGCGTATCAAGAAAGACCCTGTCAAGAAAGGCCCTGTCATAAATAAAGATGACACACATTTTTGCGTATCATAATTTTAAATGTTTTAAAAAAAAATATTGTTTATAGATTTACTTATTTTCAAATTAAATTTGTATTTAATGCTTCATAATAGAAAATAAAATATCATATACAAAAAATAGAATCCATTGCATCCATTGTATAAATCTAATGTTATACAAATAATCGTTCCATGGAAAGACAAACCAAATCAATAGAAGTTGTAACAAAAATTTACAAACGAATTAGATACAAAAAATACAATCCATTGCATAAATTTAATGTCATACAAATTACGCCCATTAGGATCTCATCTTTCTCCCTACATATATAGCAATTAGCGCCAACTTAAGCAAAATATCATGTGGTATCTATATAAACAACTCAGAGATCAACAAGATAAACCCTAATGTTGTGTTTGTTACACATGAAAAATATACTACAACAATTTGACATGACATCTCTACATGCCCTGGACCAATATTGTATATGCAATAAAAACTAACCGTAACAAAGCCACTTGTTGAATACCACAGTTCTGATGTCCATTGTGACAACTCGAAATTTTCATTCGGTCAAACCCTAAAAGTCAACCACATCTTGTCATAAGTTAATTTCGTTATTTCTTATTTTTAATAAATTTAAAGTTCGTTTGATTATTTTAATATTATTTTTAAGCGAACGGGTGAAAGAAACTGTCGTCTCGGGTTTTGAAATTTAAAAACCGCAAACACCTCGTGTCTTAGAAGTTCACGACCAAACTTTTAGGTTTGGGTCGAAAAATCATCCCAAAAATGTAAACTCATGCCTTAAGCATGAGTTTACTCCCCAACTCTAGTCATTTTGTGTTTAAGCTTTCACACCCCGAAACCGAAGGCGGAAACGTTCCGGGGCGGAGGACATCATGAATATCACAACCAATGTACATAGTAAGCAAAGTAAACAACCATTACATTACATATTAAAATTTACATTTGTCAAAAGTAAAGTTGTACAGTGTTATACATATGTATATATAAACAAAAGCAGACGTGTCTTTGGTGCACTCCGTCTTCAGCAAAAAGGATCATCGGGTACCTGTCTAATGCGGACCTGAGAATACAAGCAGTTTGAAAATCAGCATAAAGCAGGTGAGTTCATAAGCGGTTTTGTTTTCTGAAAATGTACGAGTTTCCTTTTAGTTTCTGAAAATGTTTCGACCCAAGAAAATCCCATATTTTCTTAAAAGTA